GAAATCTGTGCTCGATGGGGTGGCAGACACCACCTTCCGGACTATTACATCTGGGTTGCAGTATCTAGGCTCCAACGACGCCAACTATGATGACCCCATCAATGACTTGAACTTAAAGGGCAGCTTGTCCATGCAGAAGCCCCTGTCTGCATTTCGCAGCAAGGTACCTACAGATGAAGAGCTTATCCTCAAGGGCATCCCCTTTTTTCCCACCAATGCCACAGACTTGTTTGGCAACAGGACCACATTTAGAGATGAGACTAATAATATACAATGTGGCGAGAACTTTATGGACATGGAATGTTTTATGATCCTGACTCCCAGCCAGCAGCTAGCTGTGGCTGTGATGTCTCTGACTTTGGGTACCTTTACAGTGCTGGAGAACCTGGTGGTTCTCTGCGTCATACTGCAGTCCCGCACCCTGCGCTGCCGTCCGTCCTACCACTTCATTGGCAGCCTTGCAGTGGCTGACCTCCTGGGCAGCGTCATCTTTGTCTACAGCTTTTTGGACTTCCATGTTTTCCACAGGAAGGACAGCCCCAATGTGTTTCTGTTCAAGCTGGGTGGAGTCACTGCGTCGTTCACGGCATCAGTCGGGAGCCTTTTCCTCACTGCTATCGACCGCTACATCTCCATACACCGGCCACTTGCCTACAGGCGCATAGTAACTCGAACCAAGGCTGTCATAGCCTTCAGTGTGATGTGGACACTCTCGATCATCATCGCAGTGCTACCTCTGCTTGGCTGGAACTGTAAACGTCTCAACTCAGTCTGCTCAGACATATTCCCCCTGATTGATGAGAACTACCTGATGTTCTGGATCTTCCTGACCAGTGTCTTGGTTATTTTCATCATCTACGCCTATATATACATCCTGTGGAAGGCACACCACCACGCTGTGCGCATGCTAAGTCGCGCATCCCAGAAGAGTCTTGTTATCTATTCAGCAGATGGGACTAAAGTGCAGACTACACGTCCTGAACAGGCACGCATGGACATCCGTTTAGCCAAGACCCTGGTGCTCATCCTGGTGGTGCTGGTAATTTGCTGGGGCCCCTTGCTGGCCATCATGGTGTACGACCTCTTCTGGAAGATGGACGATGACATCAAGACAGTGTTTGCATTCTGCAGCATGCTCTGTCTTCTCAATTCTACCGTTAACCCCATTATCTACGCCCTGAGGAGCAAGGACCTGCGGCGTGCCTTCCTCAGCTCCTGCAACCTCTGCCGGACCAGTTCCCAGCAGCTGGACAATAGCCTCGAGTCGGACTGCCAGAACAGAAATGCCAACATTTCTGCCAACAGGGCTGCAGAGAGTTGCGTGAAGACCACTGTGAAAATAGCCAAAGTAACAATGTCTGTGTCGACGGAAACGTCTGCTGAGGCTGTCTAATTAGCCATCAAGTGGGGAAAAGTGTAAATGTCATCCACCTTGAACGACCCCATTTCACATAAAAAGCGAAGGTTGGGCATTCCAGAAAAGTCCTCTCCTGAAAGTTCTTGACTCTCATCCTCACACAGATGCTTTAGTGGCTCCATAATTTTATTTTGGTGGATAAGTACATAGAATGCCAAAGTGCCAAATGGTATTGGAAGATCATTAAAGGGACTTGCAATTTGAAAAGGACTTGGAAAGACTATCATAAGTCTGCTGTTTACCACAGACTTCTTGATATCCGGTCAGCAAAGGCATATTATATTTTTGTACTGTGAATTCAGGTTTTGAAAAACTCTATCTTCATTTATGGGATAAGGGGCTACTGAAATTTCTAAGTAGAGATGTTTTACAGTGTCATGTAGAACTTGGTATGTGTTTCGAACCATATGTATTACAATTCATTGCGCCTTGACTTCCTATGGGCTCCATGTTGCATAAACGCATTTTTGAAACTGAATTAAAAAATATATATATTATTTTGTTCCAGAATTGTATGATTTCTGACATCACTCAGAGAATGATCAATGTATGGAGACATTTTTTTGAGAAAGGAAAGGTCAGGTAAAGTTATAAACCATGAAATATCAACTCGGACTTATAGGTGTAAAATATATTTACGAAATCTCATTTTTCAGTGGTAAAGTGATTTCTTTACTAGCTGCCTGCTTTTGCAGGGTAAAATATCTTTATTCAGTTATGTACCAAACAAATGTACAGTGTTTAATTGCAAATGAAGTGTTCCAGTTCAGCTATCCAGCCAAGTCAATTAAAACGCCAAGCTTTTTTTTTTTGTTGAAAGCCTGAAAGATTAAAAAATAAAATAAAATAAGAAAAAAAAGAGAACAACACAGTGCTGGTCACTTTTGTTGAAAACTAAAAAGGTTTTCAGACTAAGGCTCCTTTTGTCAAATGTTTAATTTTATTGAACTTCGCCTTGTATGTGTGGTACCTTGTGACTTAGTGACATGTTTCCAACCCTAAAGCCTTTTGATCATTGCAGTGAATTTTTCTTTGTGCTACTGTTGCATAAAACAAAAGAAACCAATGCACAGGGCTGTTGAATTGGTTTTGGCGTGACTCTGAATAACATAAAAATAACTGCTGTTAATTTTTTACCTCTCAAAATAAAGAAACAAAGGTCAGTGGCTTGTAACTTAAATGGAAATTTGTGTGTAAGACATATATGAAGATCAAAACTGACCTTAGATAATCCAACATAGCAAAATTGTGGTTTTTTCTGATAGATGATGTAGAACTTTTAATCTAGAAATCTCACAGCAGGATTGTTCTGTAAACATTTATCTCATCGTGAAGTTTTCCAGACAGCTGTTTATCAATATGCTTCTGCTGGCTCTTGTAATTTTAAATATTAAAGATCAGACGTCAACTTGTGGCTTATGTACATTGGTGGCATAATGAAGAATCTATGACTTCAAAATCACCTTCGGTCAAGTGTTTCTGGTATTGCTGTGTTAAAACTTTTGAATAAAGTTGCAGCTGGTGTCATGTTGCTTGCAGGTGTTTGATTTTATTAGTTGACAACAGGAAAATGACTGACGAAAGAGGGGAACATCTAAGCTCTATGCTGACAGAAGAACGTCAAGGCCCAGAGCGCTGTGCTACTCAGTCATTAATAATGTTTTACTGCCCCCTTGCGGGGGATGAAATATTGCATCTTTGCAGTCTTCTACTTCTCAGCTTTTAAAAAGAGACAATTTTTTAGGTAAATAAATACAATAAAATAACTACTGTTCCACTTTCCCTGCACGGTGCACCATCTGCCATTTCCCTTCATTGAATAAAATTTAAACATCTGCTAATGCAGATGTTCTCTGCATTTCTAACAAAAAGATAAAAGAAAGTGTTAACAGCTCTGTACTTAAATTAGACTTAAATAATAGCTAATTACACTAATAGCAGATTTCGTGATTTTCTTTTTTTACTCTGGCAGAAATCAAACAGAGCAACCCTTTTTCACAACTTGCCCTTTAGTCTTTATTGAGTTCACATAGCACATATTTCATAATTTTTTTTAGATGTCTTATTGCATTTGTAATTATTTATATTGGTGTAGAGCATAACAGGAAAGCAACAATATTGTTCTACGTTTAATGTTAGGAAATTTGGGGGGTTTTCCACTTCAACTCTTGAGAGTGTTGACATTTACAGCACTGCTCTTTTGAGAAACACATTAAGCTGGAAGTTCCTCTTTTAACCAGAATATGTAACATTTATTAATAAATGTAATAATTTGTAAAGACATTTAGGCGACCACATTTCATCTAATTTAAAAAAACAATGATACTATAAACTACAAAAATAATTTTGTAGTTATTAGCATAACTAATGACTAGTTATACTACTAACTAGTTATTAGCATAATAATAGCTCACCACCATCAAACATGTGTCTACTTCTATGTTAAGGTCACATAATTATAGGGGAAAGTGAGATTTCAACATAACTATGCTTATGTTAATAATAACTAGTTATTATTATGTTTTTAATTAATAATAACTAGTTATTAGCCTAACTATAGTGCTGTATTTATAGCACTATAACTACAGTGCTATAAACTGTAATTATAGCACTATAAATACACTGCCATAAACTGTATTTATTGCACTCCAACTATAAATACAGTTGTGTGAATTATCCCAGTGAGAACGTTTCTTCCATTTCTATTATCATTCATTTTCTATTATTTATATATAGTAATTAGTCTATGTGTTTGACATTTTATCAAATAATTTTTACACAACACACAGAAGTGGGTAGAGTAGTCAAAAATTGCACTCAACTCTAAGTGTAGAACTACTTAAAATTTAACTTTTTTATTATTTCATTTAAGTAGACAAAAGCAGCCCTGAATTAGATTAACAGGACAGCTAATTGTGTAAACAGTAAAAATAATTATAAGTATATAATAAGTAAAAAAATAAATCTGAGGTTTTGCTTAATCTGATTTCATATAACCACAAAGAGAAAACATTATATTGTCTGCAGGTTCACTTTGAATAATATATATTTTTTAAAAAAACATTGCAAAAAATAAATCAGATAGAAAAATTTACAAATTTCACAACATAAAATACTTGAAACCAATACCACCGGTGAGTGATGCGCACATTCGAATAGGACAAAGTACATTCAATAGCAATACAGGATTTACTATATGTCCTCAAATCATCTCCAAATGACACAACACAATATTCTATACGGTATTTCGTCCCTTATTTACTTATCATTTCTTGACGCGGTAAATTCAGATAATATGTCCTTATTGAACATATTTTATTTAATTAAAAAATTAATATGCAAAGACTCAATTAATTAATTAATTATCCTATGACTTTTTTTATTATTTCAAATGAAACTAAAACTTTTCTTTTGATTTGTGGCAACAAGCAAAACAAATTTGAAAAAAGACGCTTCCCTGGCCTATAGGGAAACGTAGTCTTCAAACAATATAAAGAACTGAGAGAAAGTTAATAAAAAACTACAAATTCCAGCACCAGTTCAAGTTCTTGCGCATGCTCATGACTAACTAAGAAAAGGATAATAAAAGAGAAGCTACTCCGAACCGTTGCTGTGGCGTATGACTTACTCTTAAAATCTGGTATCATCCTGGTTTGTGCTGCTGTTTTTACTTAGTTGTTTTTTTTTAGATTATCTGGTAATGTAATCTCTTATTTATACTTTTTAGAATTTATCAGTGGAGGACAGGGATAAGCATAAAAAAGTGCGTGGCGTCCCGAGTCCGGAATCGCCGCTGCTCTTTTTGTAGTTAGCATTAGCAGCACTGTGGCCCAGGCCAGCTACTTCCTGGAGACGAGGCTCTTTTAAGGCTTCGCTTTTCGCTTGTTTTTGATATAATTGAGGGATAATGGCTTGTGGGGCTACTTTGAAACGTACTCTGGATTTTGACCCGTTAATGAGCCAGGCTTCCCCGAAAAGGAGGAGATGTGCGCCGGTCATGTCGCCGGTATCTTCCCCACAGAAATATCTGCGTCTGGAACCGTCGCCTTTCGGAGAGGTCTCGTCTAGACTGACCACAGGTATGATAATTGGAGATGTAATAACTTTGCAATGTTACTTATGTTAAATTTTATAATGTTCACATGATCGCTGCTTGTTGAATCGTTTATTATGTCCTTATTAGTTTACTGTGAAGTGGGCATGTAGTATAAAAAAATGACCTTTGTGGTGGTCCTTTTCAGTTATTTTAAATATGTTAACCATCTATGGCTTATTAACGTTTATGTATGCTTACATTATAATCCAGAAATTTTTTTACTGCTATTTAAGCTAATTGGATTAGGTGTGTTGAACCTCGACTTTCTTTATTTTTGTACAAATGAAGCTCTTTAGTTCAAAGATGTTTATTTATGGACTGAACTTTATCTTCTTAGAACAAATTCTACACAACATAAAACAGGAGTACAAACGCCTTCAGAAACGTCGACACTTGGACAGCGCCTTCCAGCAGACAGACAGCTGCTGTCCTCTGGATCTGCAGACCAGCCAGGCTGGCTCTCCTTTACCAGGTAGACACCATGTCCATGTTCTAATAAGGATTTAGTCTATTTTTCACGTTTATAATGTTCTCCTACTTCCAGTTCTAAGTCTTTTTTTGTGTGTGTTAAAAGTACACCCAGTTCATGTTATGAACAGTATTTGTGTTGAAAGAACAGTGGTTGTACATTAGATTTTGGTATTTTTTTGAAATCTCAAACAAATTAACTATGAATCTGACATTTTTAGCTCTCTTTCGCAACTTATTTATCGGTCAGCACAGCTTGTGCTTTGTTGTTGCCAAGAGAGGGTAGATCCTTACTTTGACTGAGATTTCAAAAGACTGCAAAGATTTCCAAATGCACCATCTTCCATGACAGATTAAAACTGAGCAACATTTCTGTTTTTCTTTCAGTCTCTCTTGCATTATAATAAACTACAGAAATGCCACAGATAGGTTGCTGTTATGATGATTTTGTAGCATTTTTTTATGGTGCTCTCCAGGATTGGAAAAAGGTCAGATTTTTTTTACCACTGGACCATTACAGATCATGTCCTGTCAATGACATGATGCGTGTTTGTAGCTGATTGTAAGAGCTTTTTAAAACCTTGATTCTCAAACTGTATTTATGTAAAGTGTTTGTTTTTGTGTGTACTTGTTTGATGATTCTTAGGTTTAGCACAAAGACTTGAACTCACATGAAAAAACTAAACTTTCCTGTAAACTGTGAAGCCTCTCTTGCCTTTAATTCAGCATAATAAAGACAGATCTGGCTCAGTGTTTCAGGGATGTTGGTGGTAAATATCTGAAATTTTTCATGCTATCTATGTTTACTCTCCTCACAGGTACCTCTTCAGATGCCTCATCTCCCACCAGGAGGGAGCAGCCACTATTTTCCCTCAGACAGGTTGGGATGATCTGCGAGAGACTACTGAAGGAGAAGGAGGACAAAATCCGAGAGGAATACGACGAGATTCTGACGACAAAACTTGCTGGTGCGGTTTTTAAAAATGCATGGTACACTATTAGAGCACTTGTAACACACATTTGCTAAAGAGATGAAACTGCTCCTTCTTTGATAGAGCAATACGATGCGTTCGTCAAGTTCACACATGACCAGCTGATGCGAAGGTTTGGAGAGCAGCCTGCGAGTTGTAAGTATCCATAACATCACAAAGTTTTCTCACCCATTTTAGTGTCTTCACGCTGACTCCACTGTCAAGAATTTGTCTAAAGTCATGTTTAATCTCTAGTCAGAGAAAGACGATGTATTTATTTTTTATTAATGTTAAGTGCTCATGAAATCTAGAAGGTAAGCATGGTATCAGGTTCTCATTACAAGATTGAGAAGAATTTGGTCACTTTAAGGTGTTTTTGTTTTCAGTTTTATTACATTATGTTGAATTTCTCCTTTATTCTGCATAGGTCAAGGCTGATATCTGTCACAGCTAAAACAATTAAATTACTGCTAAACAATAGTTTTTGTGCAGAGTTTTTTCCCCCTAACTTTGTGTAGCATATGCATATATAACAGAATATCAACTTAGAATAACAATAAAAAATATATTTTAGAAAAACATGTAAGAGGAAAAGCTCCTCTCCCTGCAAAGAACAAATAGCATGTTGGCCAGAGGTTAATGTGTTAAGATTTCATATTATCATTTGATTTATAGATCAAAGTTATAATAGTGCGTGATATATCAGTCAATTAGTCTGTGATCAGAATCAATTGTCTCAGACAGAAGCTCAAAAATTTTAAACACCAAAAAAAAAAAGAAAACCTGAAGTGTGTATTTTTATTAAATGTATTTCTTAATTTTTCTTTTCCTTCTTAAGGTTGACAGTGTTGTAGTGCTTAAAAATAACATTAGATTTTTGTTCTTTAGCAAAAAGTCTTTTTATATTTTGCTTTGTTTACATCTGTTTTACTTTATTGTACCAGAGGAAAGAAAAAAATATTTTTTTTGCCTCTTAAGCAAAGATTTAGGTAGAAATCTGTACTAGGACATTGACAAAAGGAAAAAAATGCAGCTGAAACTGTGCCTCTTAGAAATACATTGTATCCTGATGAGATCACAACATACAGAAGCATAAAGAAATGTTATTTTTATTTTTTATTTTTTCTTACAGATGTCTCCTGAGTCCTGCTTTCTAATCTCGGGATATTCCTTTAGGGACTTGGTGGATCTCATTGGACTTTTGCTGTGCCATATTGCCTCTCTGTGGACTCACTGCCTCAGGCATCAGTCACTGGCAACAACATTTGCTGTTGCTCAGAGGGTCCAGGAGAGTTTCGTGCTGCCAACATGTCTCAGAGACTACCAGTGACCTCTTGACTGCTGTGTTGCATCTGGCTTTCCTCTAATGCCTTCATAAAAGGCTGTCATCACACACTCTGCCTTTTTTTATTTAACTTTTTTATTTCTTTCGTGTTATTTCACCAAGGTTGTGAAATAACATCCTTGGTGTTATTTCACCAAGGATGAAATAACACCATCTTTGGTGTTAGTTCATCCTGTATACAGCTTTTCTGTATACATTTTTTAAAGGGATTGGAGACCGAATAGTGGCAGGAAGGCAGCTCTCTGACTGGGCTTGAGTTTCAACAGTTGTCTTGGCTTTCTTCAACATTGTATAAAGTGTTCTGGTTATTACTGCTTTTAGATTTGTACATTTGTATACACTGTATTTCATTTGTTTCTTTAACATTTTTTGGCTTGACTTTGTTTACTGTATTCCAATGTTAAGAATTTTGTTTGTTGTAGGTTTAAAGGGGCTTTGATTCAAATGTAATGAATAAAAACTTGGCACAAAGATGTTCTTACTGCTTTTTAAATTTTTTCTTAGCAAAAAGTCCTTTTATTTGTCTTGAAGTACTTGAATTTTTTACTCGATTTAAGAAAATTAAAGCTAAACTAACAAAGGCACAAATGTATACAAGAAAAAGAATTGACTTATTTGTGAAGTTTATAAGTAACAGTCTTTACCATGTTTTATGCCTACCTTTTCTGACCTCAGTCCACCTGAATAAAGATTTATGGCTTCAAATATTACATAATCTTTTGAAAAAGGACAACCTGTCATATTGTAGGAAAGTTGTGTAATTTTTTAAGAATTTTATTCTTGGGTTTTAAAGTAAAAAATAGTTTACTAGAAGGGAGTGAATGTAACCCATGAGGAATAAAAGCACAATTAAAAAATTTGAACTAAAAATGTTGCAGCAGAAATGCTCCAACGTTTTGCAGCATTATTTAAATAACTTTTATTATTTAAGTAATTGTTTAAATAACAAATGCCTTGCTGCTGAAATGTGCTATACAAATAAAATTTGATTTGATTTTAACTTAATTCACGAATTGAATAACTACATTTAAAAACGTCAGTTCATTAAAACTGTTAATGAACTGGAGTTATTTAAATTAATTCAATAATTAACTACATTTAAAAGCACCAATTTATTAAAAAAGTCTTTTTGGAAAGTTGAGCCCCTGTTTCAGGCGAAAGTGCTGGCGGTAGGTCGGGAACACTAAATCGAGCAAACCCTTTCCAAGCACTCGACCTTTTGCCGAAACAGAGCCTGTGGTTGGACGAGCGGAGCGGAAGTAGCGTTAAACAGGAAGTGTGACATCTCTGCTAATGTGAACAGGTCGTGTTTAAATGTAATATTTTTTAATGAAGTTTATAGTTGATGTTTGACTTTATGCTTAGAAAACATGGCTTGCTTTTTTAGAAGAAAAATTGCTGCGAAGGTAAACTTGACAACAAGACGCGTCTAAGTTTTATACACATTACCTCAGACCTTGTAAGATGGTCAGTTTATTTGCTTTGATTTTTCCAGCTGGCGAAGACGCTGCAACAGTCTGAGGATGTTTTTGTCCCAGCTCTCACTGCTGTCCCTGTTTTAAAGAAACGGTTAAGTTTGTTCACGTAATTTGCATCCGGTCTGCAGGTGCCTTTCGTGTTTGCCCTTTCGCTGCTCAGGTATAACTCTGGGATTATGTTTTTTTTTTTCAGTCCGAGTGCCGACTTCAGGCTGTCACTTGAAACATTACGAGTCAACGGGATTCTGCCTTCCAGTGGGGATCTTCAGTTGCAGACAGAAAGCCTGGCTGCCCAGGTCAGATTTATAATGCAAACAGAATATGAATAGGCTCCAGTAAGACAAGTAGTAATCCCAAGTGACGTCACATGCAGTGTCTTGCAAAAAAGGCAAATATTTTCTATCCTTTTCAACTTTGTATTTATGTAAAACACAAAGGTCATTATCTCTTTGTTGGATTTTATTTTATAAGCCAACACAAACTGCCACATAAACATTTTTTTTCCGATTTATAACTCATTAATATTATTTATTCCACACTGTTTTTCAGCTAAAGCCAGACAGCATGGTGGAAGAGATTTCAGCTCGACAAGGGTTGATTTACTTCAAACTAAACCGCAGTCTTCTTGCTGAGGTCTGTTTGCACTGGCCTGAGTTATAGAGAGCCCAACAAAGTCTTGAATTCTTCTGATTGCCACATTTCAACCTTTTCTGTTTCAGAAATTGTTGGAGAAATTTGGGAAAGGCGAGGATGATAACTTTGGGTTAAATAGTGAACTTTTTGAAACTCTTAAGAGAGGGACCATATTAGTGGAGTTCAGGTGGGTTTAGATTTATGGGTTTGATAAGTAGTATGTTAATATATTTAAAATTTGATTTTAAAACGCAAACATTATGTGTTTTTTAGCTCCCCAAATATTGCTAAAAAGTTTCATGCTGGGCATCTGCGCTCAACGATTATTGGTGAGTTTGAGAAATGTACTTATTTTGCATACATTTCTGCTTTAGCATAATGCCCAGGAATAGCACTCATAAACTTGAATCCTTGAAATCTAAGCTGGAATTTTATTTTACTAACAAAGTAGTGTCCAGTTGTGATGTGAATGGGAAATGAGACTTGCTTTTCAAAATGATTTACATATAACAAAGGGAAAATGTGACTATGGATGTTATTTAGGAGTAGAGGACCAAATACAAATACACGTCGAATATGCATTGGAATTTTTTTAAAGTTGAAAGTTTTGGACAATTGGTAGGTGATCATTTTGATTAAAAATGTCTTTTAAAATAAATCTACCTTTTGCATATATTCCCTCTTCAGGTAACTTCATAGGTAACCTGAAACAATCTCTCGGTAACAATGTTATCCGAATGAACTACCTGGGAGACTGGGGCATGCAGTTTGGTGAGTGTGTTGTGCCAAAGATGTTCCTGGAAGTGAAATTATCCTTTGGAAAAACCACTAATATGAACTGAATTGAACTTCAGGTTTGTTGGGAGCTGGATTTAACAGGTTTGGGTGCTTGGAAAAATTAAAGGAAAATCCATTACAGCATTTGTTTGAGGTGGGTATTTTTTTCCCTTCTAAACTATTTTCAGTTCTGAATTAGAGTATATTTAGGTATTTGTTTGCTTTCATTCCCAGGTTTTGGTTATAAAAGACAGTTGACTGTTGCCTTTGTTTTTATAATACAATGAATTTTATTGCTGTCTTCTGTACTTCAGGTTTATGTTCAAGTGAACAAAGAAGCGGAGCACAGTGAAGATATCAAAGTTGCAGCTAAAGACTTCTTCAGACAGCTGGAGCAGCATGATGACCAGGCCATGTCATTATGGCAACAGTTCCGGGAGATCACAGTGAAAGAGTATCAGCATATTTACAAGGTCAGTTCTCTCTGAAACACAAACTCGGTGTGAAACATGAAACCGTTCTTCAGATTTTTTGGTGTTTTGAATTTTCAACAGAGGTTAGGAGTCCACTTTGATGTGTACAGCGGGGAGTCATTTCACCAAGCCCAAACGCAAGAGGTGGTCCAGGAGCTGCAGAGCCGAGGTCTGCTGAAAACCTCAGAGTACGTAGAAGCCTTCATTCATAAATGCACTTGTGGTCTTTAGGAATGGCACCGATGCAAATGTACTCGATTTATTGAATTATGCTTCTCCTAACCTGTTGTATGCAGGATTAATGCATCCTTGTAAATGCTCTTATTCATAATAGTGTGAACAAAAGCGTCACACTATTGTTAGCGTATTAAATCACCAAGGACTGATCTGAGGGTTATGAGTAAAATTTGTCAGTTGTCATTTCTCTTAAGTTTTTATGACCTGGAAATGACCATGTTTGAACAAGAACAGTAAGCTTGTAAAAAGACAGCTCAAATTGCTGAACATTTAGGTCTAAATGTATATATTCATATATAATATATGCATATCATGTTATATTATTATATTATCATGTTATATTATAATGTTATATATTCATATTTGTTCAAAAATGCCTCAACTTAGCATTTGATTCTCTGGTTTGTTAGAGACACAGATGTGCTGAGACCTGCCGCCTGGTGGCAACTTGTATCAATATGGTTCAGCAACAGCTGCCTAAGGTTAATTTTAAGTTTATGAAATACATTTAGGTCTTATGTTTAGGTGTAGATAAATAATAATAATTTTAAAAACTATTTCTACTGTTTGTTTTTTTTTTTTTAGAAAAAAAGGACTAAGTCCTAAATATGTACTAAAAGCTTTACGTTTAATTTAAACCATCGATGGCCAACATTTTTTGCATGGTCATGTTTTTCTGAAGCCTTATGATTGTGTTCTTTTATGCCTTTTCTTCATGTAGACCGATAAAGAATATTTCTAGAAAGTAATTATATTCTTTTCTGATGATCCTGTTTTTCTGTCTCTTCATTAAAGGTTCAAAATAGTATCTTAGTGATCGATTACAGGGTGGATGATTACTTCCTGGACCTTCATTTGTCAGACAAAGGAGCTTATTTATTTTGAGCCTTGTAAGGACCCACCAGAAGTGCATAGTATTTACAGTAAGGTTAGATTTTGGATCTTTAAGTATCTCATGACCTTGGTTGACTGTCTATTTTAATTTGATTGAAACACCAGATCTGATTATCAAGCAGACACTGAACTGTCTTTTTATGTTTTTAATCTTAATTATCCATTGTCCACACGTTGGGATGCAGTGTGGGCCTTTGAGCATTTATTTGCTGCGGACAGTGAAGAACAAAAAGAGTTTTAGTATTGTGAATATTTAATTGAATTCAGCTATTTTTCCAGATGCAGAAAAAAAAAGGTGGTTTAAAAAGCCAAGAAAATCACAAGCAAGCTTGACCATGTCCCTGTCACAGGACTTCATCTAATTATGGTCTGGGCAATGCTGCAGTGATCAAACTGAAAACTAATTATGGATCCTGAACAATGAAAGTGTAACCATATAGAATAATTTTGCTAGAGACAAACAGGTTTGTTGTATTTATTGTTTTAGTGTTTTTTTTTTTTTTTTTTTTGCCTGTACAATTTTTATATGTGTCTGTTATTGTGTTAACAGGAAGGGAACCGGCGTGGTTGATCTCTCCCCAAATGGAGACAAGAGTAACATCTGTACGCTACTCCGCAGTGACGGAACGACCCTCTACATCACCAGGTAAGTGCAAGCAAGATTTAAAACCAGCACAGGATGAATACATGTGAGAGGGTCAGCAGATCTGCGCTAAGGTTGTTATAGTGAATGTTTAATGTGTTTTATTCTGAAATCTCAAATTATTAGATTAAGGCACTGGAATGTTTTCTCTCACAGGGACATTGCTGCAGCTATCAGCAGAAAGGAAAAGTACTGCTTTGATGATATGATTTATGTGGTAAGAGCTGAAAGAAATCAGTTATTATTTTTTATCTTCTTTACTGCTATGTTGCTTTAATTAAGTTTCTGTCTACACAAGCTGCATTAAATAAGTCGGAGAGTTTCCAAATTGAATTGAACCTTTTCTGGATATTGTGCCTTAAAAAGCTATGCGTTAATCTAGGCGTTAGGGTTCGTTAGGCGTTAGGGTTCCTACATAGTTTTGAAAAGTCTGGATTTTTGATTGACTGTTTTTTTTTTTTTTCCAAGTCTGGATAACTGGGAAATGTAGATGCCACAATCGTTCTTAAACCATATCTAGTAAAAGTCCAAAACAACATATTTTACAAAAGATGGCAAACTTTGCAAATTGTACTTTAAAGAATTTGCATTTATAGCTGGATAAAGTGGTTTTTCAGTTGTGCTGTATCATGATTTGTATAAATAATCTCCAGAAGACCACAATTTCAACAGTTCAAGTGAAAATTGTGTACTCATATGTGCAGAATGTTCTAAACAATGCTAGAAATAACTGGAAATTTGAGCCTGGAAAGCTATGTAAATCTTAAATGCAAAAATGCAGAAACCAAGGTTTTGATTTCTAGTTAAAGTGTTCAGTTTACTGAAAATCATGAAAAACCTGATTTTCATGTGTGTGCCAACTCACATTTTCCACCCGTATAACTACCATTTAATAATTCATCAGTTTTTTTTTCTTTTCAGACAGATAAAAGCCAGGAGAATCACTTCAACCAGTTGTTCCAGATTCTTCTGACAATGGGAAATTCTTGGGCTGAAAGGTAATAACTGTGGACATTAGTTATCGTCATTCCAAGAGGAATGACAACAAGATGACCAGGAAATAAATCACTAAAGCAGATCTGAAGTTGATTATAAATGGCTTCAGAAATGTTTTATAAAGTCTGACACAAAACGGTAACATTATTGACTGAAAGCAAATTGATAAGAAACACTCTATTCCTATTACATGACTGCTTCTCTATATACCAGATTAACCCTTATTAAGTTTACAGCTGTTTATAATTCAGCTTCCTTATACTCTAGAAAATAGCTCTTTAAATATGTGTGTGCTTCCTTAATTTAATTGATATTTATATTACTGTACGTTGTATGACAATTCAACAGCTTTAAATTTTAATTCATATTTAGGTGTCGGCATGTGTCCTTCGGCCTGGTGCAGGGCATGAAGACCAGGACGGGTGAGGTGGTGTTTCTGGAAGATGTGCTGGACGAAGCTCGGGCCAGGATGCTCCACAACATGAACCAATCCAATAGTAAGGCCGTCCACATTTAAGTAATTTAGCATTTCAGATCATTAGCTGCTGTTAAATATTGCTGCATGCTTGTATCTCAGTACTTATACCTGTAGGAAAAAAATTAATACTGCTGCACCACATAATCACAAATCTAGTTAAAGAAATTATTTTTAGTATATTCCAATTATTAATGAATCTCTCTGATCCCTTGTATGGTTTTATAGAATTGAACTTGGTCTGCACGTTAGATTATATATCCAGACAGTCTTACAGAAGGAAGGTCCTGCTTCTGCGGAATTAATTTCAGTTAAATTGCTTAGATTGTTTTCTAATCTATGCTGTACATGCTCTAAATGCTGGTGAAAAAATACAATTAAAATAGAGAACATAAAAAAAATCTAATTTTTCCACCACTAATTGACAAATACAACAAACTGTTGGCTTCTCTTTCACAGCTCATGGCAGACTCTGAAATTGGTCAGGTTAATCTTGGGAGTGACAGCTTATAAATTCTTTAATCTGAATTGCTTTGGTTAATGTGGCAATAAAAAAAGAATGTTATCTTAAAATAGAAACGATGATGACCAGAATGAGAAGCTTGTCATCATTTAGTAGGAGTGAAATAGTTTGAGGCAGTAACACCCAGAATCAATATTTCCACAGCAACGAAGGAACTGGAAAACCCGGAAGACACAGCAGAGAAAGTGGGAATCAGTGCATTAATAGTCCAGGTGAAGCATCACAACAGATCTTCACAAAATCCCACAAGTTGTTTTCCTTGTGGACAGGAAAATATTTTTTTTTCCCACTGTTGTTTTATCAGGATTTTAAAGGTCCCCTTCGGTCTGATTATAAGTTTGACTGGGATCAGATGCTGCAGGCTCAAGGCGACACCGGCGTCTTCTTGCAATATACACACGCCCGACTCTGCAGGTAAGCATGAGTTGTTATTAAGATGTAGGTATGCTTATTTAAAGCAGTATAATTCATATTATGGCTTACAGATGATTACACAAAATGAATCACAAAAAAGTTATTTTGTATAACCAGGGGAGACTCCTGACTTGACTTGAACACAGCAAATGCTGTTCATACCCTTCACTTCAGAGTAAAACGCTAAACATAATTGCTAAAGAAAGCTGACTGTATCAAAGGATATTAATTGAATGTTTAGTGGAAGAAAAAAGTGCAGAAATGTCCCAGATTTATAGGGCTACTTTAACTGCTGCTGTTGGTGCAGTTTCAGATTGTTCAATACACTGAACAACCTGAAACTCCATGTCCTGCTGCGTTGATGCAGTTATGTAATCCAAAGGAACCCACAACCAAAGGATTTACTGTATACTTGTTTGATTAAAAATCTTCTAATCGATCTTGTTTCTTTCTAAGAAACCCTCTGCCCATAATCATGAAATTACAGCAATAAGTGGTTAAAATATACAAATCTGTGTGTCATGAATCTGTAGTTTTGCTTTTTGGATAAACAGGACTAACAGGATGTATGACATATGTTGATAATACGAACTAATATTTTGGCAGTCTAATGCAGAGGAATAAATGTGTGGAGGCAGCTGCGTTCAACCCATCCTGCCTGTGTGAGCAGACCAGTGTCGCCATTCTTCAGCACCTCCTTCGGTAAACAAACCACCTTCCACTCTGCTGTAACAACACAATCTACCAGTTAAATATTAATTTGATTGCAGTTACGATGAGGTGTTGCATCAGTCGAACCAGGACCTGCAGCCCAAATACCTCGTCAACTTTTTACTGAAGCTGAGGTAAGGATCTGGATGTTTGTTTTGAGGGTTAGTCCTGCGAAGGTTCAGAACTTTGAATAAACACCTGTTCAACTTACAGCCACTTCGTCGCTTCAGCACACAGGGAGCTGCCAGTGAAAGGAAGTCCTCCAGATGTTGCACAGGTTTATAACAAAAGCACTTCGAACTGTATCTGAATATGCAGAATTACATAAAAAACATTTTAAAATGTCTTTTTGTTCACTATGCAGGCAAGGTTACGACTGTTCAGTGCAGCATGCTCAGTTCTGGCCAGCGGGATGAGAATACTTGGAATCACACCAGTTCAAAAAATGTAAACCAAACCTTTAAAGATCTTTGGCAGTGAATACAAAGTCCTATATTTTTCCAAATAAAGTTAAAAAACAAACTTCTACCGTGTCTACAATTTAATAAGTTTTAAAATAACATTTAAAAACACAATGCAACATTGATACAAAAGACACTTAAGAGGTTCAATAAAAATCAAACATGCACTGTCCTTTTAACTCTGTTGTCTCCTGTGCACCTGCAGGCTTTAATTGAACCTCTAGGTTCTTGTAGTGATCATCACTTTGCAGTTAAAAGAATATCCTTCAGTATGTGAAGTTGTCTTGTTTATGTGCCTTCTGTACAGATGTACTACTTCACTTAAAATTAATTCACAGACTGCAACCCACTTCCTCAGATTATCAAAAAAACGTGTCAGCTGAACTTCTTGTAGCACAAAAAGAGAGATGATGTTGAAATAATTGTTAATTCAAATTAACCATCTATCCCATGAGCATGAAGGGAGGAGCAAATTTAACCAAACATAGTGCGGACCCAGTTTCGTGTTGATGTGGAAAATGTCTCTTTATTCACTCCCCGAAGTCCTGCAGGTCAACAGAAAACTTACGTGATTCTTCTGACAGTCCTTTGGTGAGAGTTTGTGACTCACACATTGATTAGTTTCTGTTTAACTTCGGAGTCTGATGCTTTAGTTGACCGGGTCACTTTGGATGTGTCCTGTTTTGGAAGTCCATAGAGGTAAATGGAAACACACACTAGCAACGCTCCAGAAGCAAATGTGATTGCTGCAAAGGAAGAAAATAAAATTAGTTTGCAAAAACTGAAAAGGCATTGAAAAAAAAAAGCCCTCTTAACTTTTGTTTATAAGCGATGATCTCAAAAGTATACATGACTTTTCTAATGACCAAGATTTTCCTAAAAATTACACCAGCTGGCCACAGACTTTAGGGGTTTTGCCCAAAATATTCACCTCAAATACAAGAGAAGTACATCAAGTAATTCTGCAAATCACATGAGGCTGTCATTTACAAACTGAAACCGACTCAAATGCCTGTTTGCATGTGTACTATACTGCTTAATCCTTCAACAGCCTAAAGCTGAATTCCTTTTCTGTGCCGAATGCTCCCATGTAGTGAGGTGGCTTAATGTTAGCAGATCCAGTCTCCTAATAATGTGGGGGTGAAAGAAACTTACTTATCTGCAGTCCAAACAATAGGACAGATGCAACTGTTGAGAGAACAATGGCCGCTGCAGCTGAAAAGCCCTTCATGATGTTGTCCGTATACTTCACCACTACGGATGTGTAAAGACCGCCAACACTGGCCAGAACTGCAAAAGCACCAGAAACAGTGTCAAACAAATTTAATACTTTAGACTTAACTCATCATCGGCTTTCCAAATACTTACATACAACCAAGCACACCCATGGAGTGTAGCCATAGAAGAAGCCTTTCTCTATGACCTTTTCTCCATCGTTGATGAAGACTCCAATCAGGGTCACCACAATGCCAGAGAGGTACATCTGAATGTTTCTGACCCACAGAGATGTATCCGAGCTCTTCAGTACTTTCTCAAAGTACACACCTTGATTACAGAAAGAGAAATAAAACTAACTTCACCCGTCTGTCTCTTTCAAAGAATCTAGCTCTTAATTTTACCTGCAAATCCAGAGCAGAGGACAGCCACAGCAACAGCCATGAACCCAATAAAGGGATTCTGCTCAATCTGCAGCAGAAAAGAAAAACTAGTAAACACAGCCTCTCCAGAACAGACAAACCACACCTGATGGCAACCGTACCTGAACTTTGGTAGCTTCTGCAGGCTTCCACTGAACCAGCGTTACGCCACCACAAAGCATAAAAACAGAAAACCACTGCAGTCGGCTGAGAGAGCGGTTCAGCATGAGGACTGTACACAAGGCAGTGCAAGGGATCTTCAGCTGATAAGTCACCTAAACAGCAAAACACAAAACTGATCTAAAGACGGGCATTTTTTTAGAGCTTTATAAGTATTTCATATCTTGATAGCACTGGGGATATAAGGACATTTATATCCAGAAGTCCAGAATGTTTATTAGGTTAAAAAGAAAGTAAGAACAAACTATTGTCTCATGAAGACAATACTATTGTATTAAAATATAATTAAACACAATTTATCAAAGCTGTTCCTGCAGTCTTGTTCCTACAATCAACTTTAATGAACAAGACTGTGTGCACAATTTAACTTTATGACAAAAAAAACACTCAAAATACAAACATTAAGCATAAATCTGGAAATCTTACATTAAATAAGGATGAAGGAACAGCATGTACATGTATTTGCAGCTGTTATATATAAAAACAGAGGATATATGACAATGCAAATAGGCGTTTCTCATTTCACAAAAGAATAGCTGACTCCTCTCTGAGTTATTGTGCTCATCAGAGAGACAGCCTGAGGAAATAAAATCTCTTTGATGGCTGGGCTTTGCAAATTTCCTCTGGCACTGAACTGAAGGTAAAAGTCTAAACTGTCTGTGTCCAGGATGTGTGGAGCCTGCAGAGATGTTGGTTGCCCTTTTTCTGACCCTGGATCTGTATAAGTGATGGATGCTCAGGCACCATTTCTGGACCCAAGATGGGGTGCTTCCTTGAAACTATAAGATTCTATTAGGAACTTCTGGTTCCTTACAGAATTTATTTGCTCTAATTGTTTTCATTACTTCCTCTATAACATGGTAAGTTGTATACCAGTGCCAGACTTTCAATTTAGTTGTGTAAGTTCTCCTGTTTGCGTCAATTAACTCAATGTTCATATTCAAAGTGTCTTTTCTCTTTAGCAATTAGTCCCCAAACACAAGTAGTCAAAACATGTAAAAATAAAATGGATATGATTCCAGAAATTTCTCTCTCTGTTGCTCTTTTCTTTTCCAAATGAGTTACAATTAGAAGAACAAAGCCTATCTTACCTGATAAACTGCTGCATCAAGGTTACTGAGTGCAATGAAGGCCATGTTGTTCTGAACTGCATACACTATCGAAGGCACACTCAGCTTCAGCAGCTCCTTCGGGCTGGAGATGATCTGCTCCACTATCAGGTTCTTGAACCGTAAGAGGCTACTCGTTTCTCTAGAGACATTGAAAAAAACAGGAAAATTGAGATTATTTTTTAAGCACAGGAACAAATTTGACAACAATACATAACATGATTCTATTGTACCAGAAAGAAGAACCAGTTTGGCCACTTTTAGTTTCTCTGCTTTGAGAAAAATATTCTAAACACAAAAGATTTTTCTGTTTCTATGATGAAAGCATGATAGTGCATGCCAAACTTTTTAGTAAGAAAAAGATAGCTATTTGGAATAGGTTAATTTGCAAAAAAAAGTTGAATAGACACCTTGAAAGTCATCTGCACATATACCTCATTTAATCTGGTCCCAAATGCACCTACGTTCATTACTAAATCAAATAAGCTTTAAAAATAAAGCTAATTTATCTTTGGGATTAAATCAAAGATTGATTTAACTTTTGGAGTGAAATCAAAGGCATTTAACTTTAATTCCCCTTCTGGGATAAATAAAGTTTTATTGCATTTTATTGAATCCATAAACTTTAGTGTGGATAGTCAGTTAAAGAGTTGAAGAAAAAAGCCTGTAACATAGTTTCAGGGACACCTGTTATCTCTTTTCTAACTATGCACACCGATGAAGGGAAACATCTGAAGCATGTAGACATTTCCCCCTAAAGGTCTGAAAACAGACACACTGTGCAAGACTGCACTAGTAATCCAATTATGAGAACACCAACTTAAAGGCAAATGATCATCCATGTACAGTGCAGGTTATGCACTCTATTATGAGTAAGGAAAACTTACGCATGGCGGAAGTGTGCCTGCGGCACAGCCGAGGTGTTGAGGTCAAAGGTTATTTTTAATGGTAGCGTATGTGCATCTACATTTGTGTGCTTGGTGTCTTTCTATCATTTTGATAGATGCCCATAAAACATCTGTGGGTTTAGGTCAGGCAAGTTTGCTAACCAATCAAATTGTCATTCATAGACTAAGACAATAAATATGTTTTTTGTGTTTTTGACAGTGAGGAGAATGCACTGAAATCAGAATTTTCATAAAGCATGTAAGGGAAGTGATCTAAAATGTCCTCTCAGACTTTTAGATCACTTTGAAAAAAACTAAAAACAAAATAAAAGTATGTTTTCTTCCATCTAAAATTCCATCAATATATGGATACAGCACTCTGAACACACAGCTTCTTTAACAACTACCTTTAGGAGAATAAGTTGTTTTCTGTAAGCATTTCTGTAATATTTGTGATAGGTGTCAAATTTTCAGAGACTGATTTTTGGGAATTTTACTAGCTGTAAGCCATAATTATCTAATTGACCATAAACAAAAACTTAAAATATTTCACTGTGTGTAGAGAATCCATTTAAGATACTTTTATATATTCTAAATCTCCGAGACATAAATACATATATATCCAGAACTACCAAATGTGATAAACACTTACTTTAAGAGCATCCCAAGGCTCAGGATTAATTTTATGACCTCAGTGATGCACACCGCTGTGGTAGAGAAGTACATCTCCCCTGATGAAATGGTCCGTGTGTACCTTAATGCCACAGTGTACGTAGCTGCCACCAGCGTCATCACTGCCAGGCAGTACAGCTTGAACACCACGCTCACGTTTTCTGCGGAGAAAAGCGATCGAAATGTAGTTATTTATAGCATGTAATGGCGGCGTCTTCAATTTTAATATTTCATTCAGAAGAAGAACGGTGACGCGAACAATGATCTGTATTACAGAAGTTTCAGTTAGGGATATTTTTCACTTTATTCTAATTTTACTTCAGCCCCAAACGCCACGGCAGCTAGCACTAGTCTGCTAAGCTAGTATGATAACTAGAGGGGGAAAAAATGAGGTGAATGACTTACCTACGGCCATTTTCGTACAACTTTATGTCCGTCCTAGAAGAAAGTAAATCAGTTACCCACCCCGTTACATGCTCCATGTACCAGAAGAGCTATTCAGAGCTAACCGTTTAAAGTGGCCAAACCAGTAGCACAACAAAAACCCTCATTTCCGGTTTCCTCCTACATCTCCCAGAAT